TATCTTTTTAATTCCTAGTTATTCCTAAAGGTCTCAAACTTCTGCTCTTGACTGATGGGGTTAATTGATCAGATTTTCTGACCTTTACAGTTTGCTAAACTGATCAAATGAATCTTGTTAGGTAATTCTGATTGTTTGTTTGCATGCTGTGATGAACCCTGGGTTTGATCAGTCACTGGAGGTCAAATAAATTTGAAAGTGAAGTACCATCTGAATACAAAAGTATGCTGTCGACTGTAGGACAGAAGCTCTATTTTTTTTTAAGGTCTTTCTTTTTTATATATATCACCTTTATTTATTTTTATATTAGAAATGTTCTATCCTCCACTATAAAGTATCTGTTGATAAATAAAAAGGTTCTTTTGATGTTAAATTTAAATTTTTATGGAACCATCATTGTAAATTAAGAACCTTTATCTTAGCGTGTTTAATGTTTTAACCAAGCTTTTTCATACAGGATCTGATGATCAACGGAAATGTTCCCTTAATGTTAAAGATTCTTTAATGTGATATAGATCCTTTATTTTCAGAATTTAATTTATTGTTTATTTTAGTTTTTTCCCACTAACAAGAATCTTCTCAACAAAGCTAAGACTCCACCGAGGTTCAATATTCTTAGTGAAACCATCAATGCCAATAAAGAGTCTTTATCTTGTGTAGCTTATTAGCCGTTTTGCAATCTAAATAATCTGTTAATCAATGGAAAGGTACTACCGATGTTAAAGGCTCTTGTGAATTACTCATCATTGTGAATTAAGAACCCTAATCTTAGTGTTCAGTAAGGCTCTAAAGATTTTTTTTTCTACTTTAAGGATCTGAAGATCAAGGAAATGTTTGACAGCTGATAAATGTAATTCATAGCCAATAAAGAACCTTAATTTTTAAAAGTGTAGCATTTACCATTGTTCTAAATAACCTTTTCCACCAATAAGTTTCTTACTATCAATGTTTAGACTCCACTGATGTTCATGTTCTTCATGGAATCATTAATGTCAATTACAAACCATTTACAATTACAAACAAACAAATAATATTAATAATAATAATAATTATTATTATTATTATTATTATTATAATGGGTGGCGCAGTAGGTAGTGCTGTCGCTTCACAGCAAGAAGGTGACTAGTTTAAACCTTGGCTTGGCTCAGTTGGCGTTTCTGTGTGGAGTTTGCATGTTCTCCCTGCGTTCGCGTGGGTTTCCTCCAGGTGCTCAGGTTTCCCCCACAGTCCAAAGACATGTACAGGTGAATTGGGTAGGCTAAATTGTCCGTAGTGTATGAGTGTGTGTGTGTGTGTGTGTGTGTGTGTGTGTGTGTGTGTGTGTGTGTGTGTGGATTTTGCAGTGATGGGTTGCGGCTGAAAGGGAATGCGCTGCGTAAAAACGTGCTGGATAAGCTGGCGGTTCATTCCACTGTGGCGACCCCGGATTAATAATGGGACTAAGCCGACAAGAAAATGAATGAATGAATAATAATAATCTATAAGATAAACTCTAAAATAGTTTTTTAAGGTTTACTTTAAAAAAAAGTACAATTTTAAAAGGATTTACATTTAAAAATATTTCATTTAAAGTGTCTGATAGCATTAAAAATGGGGCATTCCACAATTATATGTTTAACAGTTTGGTTACTTTTGCAATATTGACATTTTGGTGGTTCTTCTCCTTTAAGTAAATGTTCATGTGTGAGTCTTGTGTGTCCAATGCGGCATCTTCTATTAACAATCTCATTGTGTCTTCAGGGTAAAAAAATTAATTCTATTCTAAATGTTATTCCTATTTCTGGCTGAATTTCAAAAAGTTTGCTTTCTGAGCATCCCATTCTGTTTGCCATTTGATTAGAATAGCCTTTTATCAGTGGCTTTAGATCTTAAGGTTTGATTTTGCACTCCACCATCAATGGAAATTAAGGACCTTTATCTTGGTGTTTATTAATGTTCAAAAGTCTCTTATAATCAATGGAATGGTCCCACTGATGCTAAACATTCTTCAATGCCAATAAACAACCTTTATATTTAGTGTTTATTAGTGTACCAATTTTCCACTTTAAAGAATCTGTTGATCAATGGAAAGGCTCTGATAAAGTTAAAAGACTTCATGAAACATCAATGGAAATTAAAAACCTTTATATTAGTTTTTATTAATGTTCTAATGGATCTTTTGATCAAGTTCCACTAATGACAAAAGCTCTTCAATGCCAATAAAGAAACTTTATAGTAAGGAGTGCAACATAAGCTGACTGTTCTCCTGCATGAATCCTAATGTAATCACAGCATAACTGATGGTAAATGCATGTCATTGTGATCCCCTACTTAAATTCTCACCACACCCCGTCATGATTTTCTATCATAAATTACCAGTTAACTTGGCCTTTTAGACAACTTGTTGAACATAATATAATCCTTCTCATTGCTCAAGCCATCACACATGCAGATTGTCTCCCACAGGCCCTGTTTTATTCATTCTCCATTCCTCAGACCATCCTCACTGCATCTTTTGATTCACATGTTTGTTTGAGCTGAGGAATCCTCTTTCTTTGCCAAAGTGTACTATAAACTCAGTAATATCTCATAAAATAATGTCAAACAGGGCGCTCTAATATGTACAGTGCTCTGCGTTTTCCTATTCGACACAAAAGCATGACAACGAACAAAGGAGCAGAACAGCAGAGGGTGAGATTTTGTCATGTAAGCGCCGTTCATGGACACAGAGTCACATTGTAAATGTATACACTGGGGGCGAAAAACAAATTCCTCTGTGGTCACGGTGAACTTGATCTGCCACCATGAAAGGAATTCTTGCAACATGCTTACAATGAAAGAAAAATGCTAATAAAAAATAAAACAAAGGACATTGCATAGAATTCTGCAAAAGCAAAGTCTGCTTGAAATGTCACACGCTGCACCAAAAAAAAAAGAAGCAATAAATGCGTAATATTTTCGGCGCTTTGGAGTTGTCGATTTGCAACTGTTTTTTTTAATTGTTTCATTTTTTTTTAAAGATTGTTGTGTGTGTTTTTGTTTGCATATCATGAACTTTCCAAAGAAAGCAAAATGTTTTTTTCATTCATTTTTTCATTAAAGAGGACCTATTGTGCCCATTTTTACAAGATGTAAAATCAGTCTATGATATACCTAGAGTGTGTAGTATCAGCTCAAAAAACATTCATTCATTTTCTTGTGGGCTTAGTCCCTTTATTAATCCGGGGTCACCCGGATTAATCTTATCCAACTCATCCAGCAAGTTTTTAGACAGCGGATGCCCTTCCAGCCGCAACCCATCTCTGAGAAAATTCCACACACACACTCATACACTACGGACAATTTTAGCCTACCCAATTCACCTGTACCGCATGTCTTTGGACTGTGGGGGAAAACCGGAGCACCCGGAGGAAACCCACGCGAAGGCAGGGAGAAAATGCAAACTCCACACAGAAACACCAACTGAGCCGAGGTTTGAACCAGCGACCCAGCAACCTTCTTGCTGTGAGGCGACAGCAGTACCTACTGCGCCACTGCCTCGCCCATAGCTCAAAAAACACACAAATATTATTTAGAACTCTTTGAAACTGCCCCTTTGAGTCAAATTGTGCCATTTTAGTGACTGTCTCTTTAAATTCAAATGAGATGGTGATCTTTTCAAAAGAGGGAGGTGCTACAAACATCTATGGGTGCTTTCACACCTGTGAATCGATTCAGTTGTTCCGAAACAGAGATCACAAATGTTACATTGTTGCTCTTTGCTCTTGGAGCGGTTCGCTTTCACACTGCAAAGTTTCTAATCGAACCAAAAGAGCTAAAACAAGTCACGTGCGAGTAAACTCTCCTTACATTGGTCAGAGTGTCAGGGTTTATTTTGCAGCGTCCCGCTCAGCTGTCAGGAGTTCGCTCCAGGGTTCGTTTCAATCGAGCCGAGACCACCTCACTCAGGCGGTCTCGGAGCGATTACTTTAGCGCGGAACAGAGCGCGATTGCCCTGTTCACATGTGCCAAACGAACCGCGCTAACTGGGCAAACGAGACAGGTTCCGAAACAAAAGTGTAGGTGTGAAAGCACCCTATGTTTTAGCATTGCAGCATATTCAAAACTAAAGGCAAACTGCTGCTTCTCACTCATGGCTGATCGTCACAAGGCTTTCCCACTCTTATGACACGTCTTACCGATGAGACGTGAAACAGAGGTCCTGACTCTCTGTGGTCATTAAAAATCCCATGGAACTTCTCATAAAGAGTAAGGGTGTAACCCTGGTGTCCTGGCCAAATTCCCTCCAATGGTCATCACCCATCATGGTCTCCCAATCATCCATATTCACAAATTTAGCTCTGTCACTGTCTCTCCACTCCATCTATAGATATAGTGTGTGGTGAGCTGGCACTGGTGGTGTTGTGGAGAGACCCCCCCACCCCCCACTCATGATTGTGAAGTGCTTTGGGTGTATGTCTATACACAATAAATTTGCTATATAAACACACATTACCTTATATTGAGTACAAAGGGAGCATGTCGATTAAAGAATTTCTGCAGACTGTTTTTATGTAGCGTGATTATAATAAATAGATTTAATTAATATTCACCATTAGACGCAGGCTATTTACACACACTCTTACCATCCAACTGTTTAGACCCCTTATAAAAGTCATTTTTGCATAATAGTTCCCCTTTAAGCTAAAAGTGCAGTGGAGTTATTCTATTATTTTTCACTTTTTTAGAACTATATAATTATATAGCGTCTCTATTCAAAAGTACAACTATAAACTAATGATAGTTGTTTTTAAAATGCTCATAAATTATTAATAATAACACGATCATTATGTTGGGAAAAGGGGACAATTGCATATATTATTTCAATATTTGTCTTTGGGCGTAACAGTGTTTACTAAGAGGTTGTTTAAGAAACTTCAATAGCAACCACAGTGAGTTTGTTCAGTCAGGTTGTGTCCACTGTCATTATGTTATCTAAATATTCAACAGCTTGCATCCTCTGGTTTGACTGTTTTACTTACTAGAAGAACTTTGGACTTCTGGTCACATGCCCGTTGTGGAGATGAAAGAGATAGTTCACCTGGAAAATGAAAATTCTGTTTTCTGTTATGCATTTCTTACAATTTATATTTTGAGAAATATCACTTTTCCTGCTTAGCAAAGTCCAAAAAAAAAATCTGAATTGCTAAATTGGATGACATTTAAAAAGCATATATACCATTATTCAAAATTGCAACAAAAAACAAAGATTTAGCATTTTCACATTTTAATACCTATGGGCAAGTTCAACATATAAATGGAAATATATGGGTTTCTTCAGCAACTGACAGTTTTTGGCACTGTGAATGTCTAGAATGTAGACACGAAGGCCTGGTTTAACATTAATAAGTTTATAGATAAAGTATCTGGACTCAAACTGTTGGTTGGGTTACAAATAATATAAATCTATATGTAAAAAAAATGCACACTTTATATGTAAATATATTATAGGGGGAAATAACTCTATATGCTTTCCGTATTTGATAGGTCATCAAACTTTTTTAATTATATATTGTTTTATATATATATATAAACATGTATGTGTGTGTGTCTGTGTATATATGTATAAAATTATTATATATACTAAAATTATTTGTATTTTTTTTGCCATCAAAATAAATTTACTGAACATAGACACAGAAGTTTGCAAAAAATGCTCATATATAGTTAAAGTCAGAATTATTAAACCCCCTGAATTATTAGCCCGTTTATTTTTTTCCCAATTTCTGTTTAAAGGAGAGCAGATTTTTTGAGCACATTTCTAATCAGAATAGTTTTAATAACTAATTTCTAATAACTGATTTATTTGATCTTTTACTAGATATTTTTCAAGACACTTCTAGCTTATATGTCAATGTTAATTTTATTTATAAAGCACTATTTGACACAACCAGATGTTGACCAATGTGCTGCACATTACAAATCAAAACAGAGAAAAAACAAATAAATATATAAATATATATATAAATATCAGCCAATCAGATTTTTATATATATATATATAACTATCAGCCAATCAGATTTGAGAACCAGAGAACCAGTTATATATAACTATCAGCCAATCAGATTTGAGAACCAGACAGAACTGTTGTATATATATATATATATATATATATATATATATATATATATATATATATATAACATTATAGCTAAAATAGACAATTTTCACCTAGATTTAAAAACAGGGATGAAACAGATCTGATACAGAGGGGCAGAGCATTCGACAACCTAGGACCAGCTATTGTGAAGGCACGGTCACCTCTGCATTTCAGCCTCTACTTAGGGATGCATAATAGTCTCTGATTAGATGACCGAAAGTAACATTTAAAGGCTTAACTAGGTTAATTAGGTTAACTAAGCAGGCTAGGGCAATTAGGCAAATGATGGCTAGGCTATTGTAAAATGATGGTTTGTTCTGTGTAGACTATCGGAAAAAATAACCAAAAGGGGATAATAATTGTATCCTTAAAATGGTGCTTAAAAACTTAAAACTGCTTTTATTCTAGTCAAAATAAAACAAATAAGACTTTCTCCAGAAGAAAAAATATTATCAGACATACTGTGAAAATTTCTTTGCTCTGTTAAACATCATTTGGAAAATAAAAAAAAAATAAAAATAAAAAAAAATCAAAGGGGGGCTAATAATTCTGATCTCAACTGTATAAAAATTTATTTGTTCTTAGACATGGATAAATCTAGATATAAAGGGACAAAAAAGTACATTTTAATTCAACCCATGATTTCTCATAATTCCTTTATAAATAGGCTATTAAATATTCCTCAATTGCATAGTTTGTTATTAAGTTGGCCGTGTACTGTTTAAAAATTTTGTGAGTTTAAGTTTCAAAAAATAACCTAGCCTTTAAAATTATAGTTATTTCAAATAAGAATTAGGATAATTATTTACTTTATAGCAGAGATGCAAAAACTAGGGAATGTGGGCCAAAGTTAGAACATGTTAAGCTTTGATTTGTCCCGTCATCCCATCTGAGAAGAGATGGAGAATGATGGGGATGGTTTTGAGGTTGTCAGTTTAAATTTAATGTAGCCCTTTGCTAGTTTTTATTGTTAAAAGCTAATTGAAATTAAGTGTTTCAATTAAATTGTGTAAATTAAATCAGATTTTGTTTAAATGTACACATTGTCATCTGATAATGTAGAGACTTAGGTGAGCAAATCAAGTCAAAGACTAGTGACTAGAGTATTCAGCATTGAACTTCTAAAGAGATTGTTAATTTTTATTGCAATAAATTATCAATTAAAATGTTATTCTGCATTAGTTAATAGGATTTAAAGTGATGTTTTCTATTTATTTTAAAATATTATAAAATGAATTAGGAAATTAATTATCCAAGTCAATTTAAATGTAATATAGTTTGGTATATTTGTTCATACATATTCATGGCGCGTGACGGTATTTGATTTTTGGCCCTTTATACGAAAAGTTTGGCCATCCATTGCTTTAGAGACAACTATTAGTTATTTTTGCTTTTAACTAAAAACTCGCTTCATTTAGATTTTTCTTCCAAGAAAAGCTTCTCAAAGACTTATTGCCAAGACAACGTTGTTTCTTAAGTAAACAGCTAACGTTATCTATATTAAACATACTTTAATGTTAATATTATATATTTAATAGAAAACGAAACAAAATAAGGAAAAAACGCATTTTACACTTCCATTTCCAATGTAAACACCCATATATATGATATAACATGCGAATTCGACATTTAAATCATCAAAAGTATGTTTGTGTGGGAGTAAATCTACGGTTGTCCAGAAGATGTCAGTAAGTGTTGCTAACTAAAATCCTCAAGTCTGTATGGCTGCAGCCCAAAATCCTTGCAACAGCGGATAATTTTAAGAAAACCGACTTCAAAACGCATTTAGTTAAGCCAGTAATTTAGATTCAAACATAAAACTTCATAATTTCTTTGTCAAACGTACCATATTTTCGAAGCAGCAACCGAAACACGCAACAAACACTCAAACATCCACGTGCTCCATTCAGACGCCGTTCAGGCGCGTGCACGCAGCTCGCTTCCCGTTCAAGATGGCAGCCACCATGAAGAAAGGAGTGGTATGTGTTCCCATTATCGGCTTTCTGTCTACATTCACGTTGTTTTGTTGCTCATCCCTGAGAAACGCGTTGGTGATGCTGAAATATCTAAAATATTAAACGAAAGAGACAGCTGAGGGAAACTGAGGACGGTTTATTGTTTATTTTCACCGGCTTGGATGGCTAACGTCATATTATTCGTGCCTGTCTGTTAATGAGTTTTATTGTAATTATTTACATTTACGTTCATCGTTCTGCACCAATCTATCTATCTATCTATCTATCTATCTATCTATCTATCTATCTATCTATCTATCTATCTATCTATCTATCTATCTATCTATCTATCTATCTACATTTAAATTTAGGTGGTTTTAAATCACATAATTGTATTGTCATTCTTAAATATTTCTTATAGATTGACCAGATTAACAACTTGTATATTGGGTTGTTTATTTTGTTCTTTTATATAGAGTTTAGTTTACATAAAAAAGCTTTTTTTAAATGTATAAAATGCTAAGCAAACTTATATTTGTGTAAATCACATCGAGTCTAAACCACAAAGAGTCAAGATGACAGGATTCAAATCAAAGATTTATGATTTGCTTAGCATTTATATTGTAAAATTTTAAAAGTAAATCTAAAGATACAAAGAAATGCAAATAATATGCATATTTAGCAAGGCATATTTTTTGACAGAGCTTACCGAACATCCAAAACAATGCTGAGTGTTTGTGTGTGTCCATGTGATGGTAACTTCATAATTTGAGAGCTTGTGAAACGCTTATAAAAATGTGTAAAGGAGTCAAAACAATGACATGAATTCCTATTTAAATGAAGATTTCTGATGCCTGTGTTGGTTAACATAGCAACTACATTTTTGAAAAGCATTTTTGAGTATCCTGTCATTTTTAATGTTCGCATCTTTATAAAGCACATTTAAAAACAACCAAGGTGGACCCAAGGGCTGTACATAGGAGTACTAAACACAGAGACGAAATCAGAATATAAAAGAAGCATTTAGAAAATAAAACAATAAAACATTGATCAAGGAGTATTAAAGCGAGAGAAAATAGGTGTTCAAAACAGACTTAAACACAGAAATAGAGGGGGAAAGTCTAATGTGAATTGGTGGGGTGTTCCAGAGTTTAGAACCAGCAACTGCAAATGTTCAATCACCTTGTTTTTTAAGGCATGTTCTGGTTACGTAAGTTAATTGAGATCATAAGATCTCAATGATCGAGAGGAGGTATACGGATGGAGCAAGTCTGTAAGGTACTGAGGAGCAAGACTATTGACAGCTTTGTAAACAAATAATAAAATTTTAAAATCAATTCTGTATTTAATGGGTAACTAGTGAAGTGCAGCTAAAATCGGAGTTACCGACTCATACTTGCGGGTGCCAGAGATTAGTCTAGCAGCTGCATTTTGTACCAGCTGCAGACAAGAGAGAGAAGACTGAGAAATACCAAAATAGAGTGAGTTACAGTAATCCAGTGTTATGAAGGCATGGATCATTGTTTGAAAATTTCTCTGAGATAATAATGGCTTCATTTTAGACAGTTGTTAAGGTGGTAAAATCAGGTTTTTACGACAGGACTGATCTCTTTTTAATTCTTAAATTTTCTTTAATTTAAAATTTTCATCAAACATAACACCGAGACTTCTTGCACACTGGGTAATATGTGGGGCCAAAGATCGTACATTGACATTTAACAGAGATTTTACTACGTCATCATGCAATAACACCAGAATTAATTTAAATTAAATCAAACCATAATAAGTAATGCACAATGTTTAATCAAAACTACTGCTTGAATCATAACTTGAGTTTACTTCTATTTTTAAAATATATTTATTATCTGTTTTTTGTCCTGTCTCTCTCATTCTGTTGCACTGTAAAAGCTTCTGTCACGAAAATAAACTCCTCGCATGTATGAACATACCTGGCAATAAAGCTCTGATTCTGATTCTGAACAGGCAGCAGAGGATGTCAATGTAACATTTGAGGACCAGCAAAAGATAAACAAGTTTGCCAGGAACACAAATCGGATGTCTGAACTGAAAGATGAAATCGAGGCCAAAAAGGTAATATTGTGATGCTTTTGATTTATACAGGATATAAGCTGCATTTTACTGACGCATAATCTTTATTGTGCGTAGAAATCTTTACAGAACTTAGAGGATGCCAGTGATGACCTCATGATGTGTGAGGATGATTCGATGCTGATCCCGTATCAGATTGGAGACGTGTTTATCAGTCACTCGCAAGAAGAGACGCAGGAGATGCTGGAGGCAGCAAAGGTGACTTTATTTTTTTTACACACTTTATAGGGCACTCAATACAATATACAGGAAAAACTGTGGAATGTCATTGTGGGCCATTACAAAAATTTAAAACGCTTTTGACTTGAAAAAAAAAGTTGCAAATCTAGGTCAAAAAAGTTACAATAAATTGTTAGGTTTAAACACAGGCGCTTTGTTTACATTCGTTAAAATGCGTTAGTACGATTATAAGTGGACAATGGTAAATACAGATGTAAACAGAGCTTGAGCTTGTTCACTTTTGAGCACCTTCAGAGTTAGAGGAAAACATTCGATTGGATTACTTTTATAGTGTAAACCAGGGCTATTCAATTGGCGGCCTGTGACCCGAATACGGCCCCCGAGGCACTTTGTTCCGGCCCTCCAAACAGTGTGACCAAGACATCAAAAATAAATTTAGTTCAGTCGACAAACAGTCGCTATGGTTATGAAGTGGCCTGCGTGTGTTTAATAACAGCACGAGCTGCAATTTAATTCTGCACAGAGCTTGAGTCATCATAAGCGAGTGGTGCGAGCAGCCGAAAACATGTTTATAGAAAAGGCTATTTGTACAATGTACTGATATCGTTAATAGGGATGCAACGATTAGCCGATTTCACTATTAACTGCGCTTTAATTCGTCACATTTTATTAATCGTAAAGTCTTCTCTAAGCCGCATTTCTGTTGCACTGAACGAAACGAAACCGCTGCAAAATGCCAAGTTGCCTGTGCGCTAGTTTGAAGTACACCGAGGCTAACACGCACGCACACAGGATTAACTATGGCAGTGGCTGTTCCTATATCACGTGTTTTCCGCTTGCAAGTTTGTTATTTCTAATGTAAGAATATATGACAATATGCGGGCGCCAGTGGAGCGCCGTGCTTGCGTCTTTCTGGGCACACGCTGTAGAAAACATCTCACGGTGGGAGTTGTTTGTTCTTTTCAGTGCAATATCAACAAAAGATATGTTAGACGAATTATTATTAAAATGATTATGTATGCTTGAATGCAGATGGCAACAACAGTTAATCTAAATAGCTACCTACCTAATATAAAGTTTGAATTTACATTAGACGTGATAACAGTGAAACCATGATTATTCTTCAGACTATATAATTGTACAACCAAAATCTATAATTGTTGCATCCCTAATTGTTATGCAGGTCAAAACATAACATATGAATGTGTCTGAATGTACAAGACGCCTACTTCAGCAATGCACTGCTCTCCTTGTGCTCTGAAATACAACATTTGAGTGTTTGTAAAAAAAAAATTAAAAAAAAGTAAGTCTATTGTACAATGCACTGATATTATGTAGTTTCAAAATACAATATATTAACATTTTAATGTAGAAAAAGCCAACATGAGTGTCTTGAGGAGCAAAAATATGGGCTCTTATATGCTTTTGTGTCATCACTCATATGGCAAGTTATATTTCTCCGGCCCTTCGTTTGGGAAACTTTTCATGATCCGGCCCCCATGACAAACTAATTGAATAGCCCTGGTGTAAACACTCATGTGATTGAATGCATTCAAATTATTTTAAACGTGGGGTATGAACAAAACTTGATGAAAGAATGTGCGTTGCTGCAGGTAAACTAAGTAAACATATTTACCTTAGGTGTTGACTTTATTCAACCACTTTAAATCATCATATGAGCCATAATCATTGATACATAAATAAAACAATGTTATTCTGGCATACATTCACTTTTAGTAAGGGTTCTACTGCTCTCACTACTGAGCTACTTTTTAAATAGTGTGCTTTCCAGACACTTTTGGCCATCTGTAATATCATAACGGGGGCGAGGCAGTGGCGCAGTAGGTAGTGCTGTCGCCTCACAGCAAGAAGGTCGCTGGTTCGAACCTCGGCTCAGTTGGCGTTTTTTTGTGGAGTTTGCATGTTCTCCCTGCCTTCGCTTGGGTTTCCTCCGGGTGCTCCGGTTTCCCCCACAGTCAAAAGACATGCGGTACAGGTGAATTGGGTAGGCTAATTCACCTTTCCCAGAGATGGGTTGCGGTTGGAAGGGCATCCGCTGCATAAAAACTTGCTGGATAAGTTGGCTGTAAAAATAGCAACAGGCGGTGGTTCATTCCGCTGTGTTAACCCCTGATAAATCAGAGACCAAGTTGAAGAAAAATGAATGAATAAATATATGGTAATAGGTCAATATAAAATTTTCCCTGTTTTGACCGTACAAATTTATTTGATTTATTTTTATTTTTTGCTTAAAATAAAGATCACGATTCTCTCACGATTCTGTAGATGTAAAATAAAGCTTAATATGAGATTATTGTTTTTTCTCAAACATATGGTAAAACAACAATACTAATATTATGTGTAGTTCTACTGGTTTCTATAAATAATTATATTCTACTTATAATAATTCTGATGTTGAGTTATGTTTAAGATATAGGCCTATGTCTGCAATCTGTCATTGAGAACAGTATTAGACCATTTAATTCACTGGTAAAATCAACATTATATAGGCTAGAGTAGTTTTACTGACACTGTAAACATTTATTTTCATGCACAACTGTGTTCACTATGAAAGAAAAAAACATCAAATGCTTGCCGCAGTCATAACTCTAAAATGCGATATGATCATTTTAATGATGTGCACGCTTTCAGTTTAATTTTTACTGCTAAGTGCTGTTCATACTTCGCTCGCGGCTCTCAAGCGATCACTCTGTGCCACAAGCTGAATATTATTTACAACTTTATTACCTGTTACTCACAGCAAAAGCATATTCTGTTCACTAAAGTAGACGCGCACGCGTCTATCATTAAGTAGGGCGTGTGCCCCCGCACAGTCAGCAGCTCACGTCACGTGTGATTTCCTGGCCCGATTACAGCATTATATGAAGACAAAAATGACATTATTAGGTGAATTATACCTTATATATACAGTATGTGACTCTTTTAACATCATTTGGAGGTGTCCATGTCGCTGAGCAACGTGTGTGTAACAATGAAAAGACTCGTACAGCCGCCTTTGCTTCTCTCCTGAACTTGAAAACATGATTGGCAGAATCGTAGGATTAAGATCGTCTAGGGCAGTGGTTCTCAAACTGTGGTACGCGTACCACTAGTGGTACGCGGGCTTCCTCCTAGTGGTACGCGGAGGAATCGCTGAATAATGAAAGAAACAATTAACACTTTTAATCCTCAAATGTGTAATATAACATCGATGTGATCAGCATTGGCTGTTTTGTGAAGTGTACGATCACAGCGCTGTGCTTAGAGTGTTTATTTTAGTGCATTGTGTCATAAGCTGCTATAAATCAGTTTCCGAAGTTTAAGAATAGATTCTGAAGCGTGATTTGACTGACATGAAAAGTAGCCAATCACAGTCGACCTTGTCTAGTTGCGTGAAACGTAAGGGCGGGACAAATGCTTTCTGTGTTGCAGAGACAGAAAAAACTACTTAAAAACAAATGTTTTGTTGGAATAATGCTTCTCGGATGTTTTCACTATAGATATGTCTAGCAGAGTAATTAAACCGCGGACATATTTCCTGCCTTTTTGATGATCAACAAACACGTTTCGCTCTCCGACAGCCAGTCGACTCGCCTCTGACCTGTCACTCCTCTAAATACATTCTGAATGGCGGCGCGGGAATGGAGGTATTGCGCAATTACTTATTTCTGCAAACGTGGCGAGTGCTTTATTTTAACACGAGAGCCCATTCATGTACGCAAATCACTAAAACAGATATGCGAGCTCTTAAATAGGCTTTTTTTCAAATGAACTGCAAGTCCTCTCATGATCGCCTGTGTGCTCAGATTGAATACAATCGCGATCTTTCCACTATTAAAGTAGACATTATTTATCTTTGCTCCTTGACTAAATTTAGTCAAAAGTATTTAAAGTTATGAAGTATTTAGAAATAGATTGATGCATGATCGATAACAATGCTAATGGTCTTCTTATTTGGCTGTGTTGTCAAGTGAAACTTTAGCAAAGGTGGAGCTTTTTTGTTTCTTTACGACAAAAGAATTATGCTGGAAATGTTTCTGGATGAGGTATATGTGTGATTTATACATTTAGCTGTATTCTGATCTGTCCTAAAGCATTACAGATCAAAGCAATCCATTGTTACTTATTGTTTATTTATCAAAATTTACAATAAGACTCTTAAAGCACTGCTTTGATAAATGTATTGTTGTCACATTTCAAATACCTCAAGTAAAATAAAGTCATTTGTTTTATTTTTTACTGACAGTGTACTTGTATTTTTTTTACGTTTCTATTTTAGATTAAGATCAAGTGTAAAATAAAATCTACATGTGATGTACAGCTATTGAAGAAACAAATTTGCCATATTGTAAAGAAAAATAGTGTAAAATATGTAAATAAAAGGCTAAATAAAAATCTTTTTACCATATACTTTAACCTTTCAAAGCTTAAAAATATATTTTTTAAAAAATGGGCAAAAAGTGTCTCTATGGCCTTAAAGATTATTTGGTAGTTTTACCAGTGCTATTGAAAAAGATTAATTGTCATGAAAGGAAAAATCGACCATACTTCCTTTGTTAGTGCATATTCCTATACACGTAGCTTTGGGATTTAAGCAATCAAACCATTAAATCAGGTTTACACTTAAAAAAAGTGATTTCATAATGAAAATCTGATTTTTTATTCAAAAGTAACCAACTAGTACTTTTTAAAAGAGTACTTTGTACTTTTACCAAATATTAGCATTATTTACTAAAAATGTTGTTATTTTAGCAGTGCAATAGTATTTTTACTTGAGTACAAAAAAGATTTCACAAGCATTTAGTGCAGGTTTATTATATTATTAATATATGATTAATAAATATTATTTTTAATGTTTTTTATTTGTATCTATTCCTATGCAATATTTTATGGGTTGCATACAGAATACATTTCAGGTCTTCAATACATAGCATGTCAGTCTTGAAAAAAAAGAAGGTTCTGGAATTCATTTTCATTAGGCTGTGCCTGTATGAACCCTGTCATATACATTTAACATATATTTCAAGATTTGTCTGAAAGTGTAGCAATATGACATATAGCCTATATTTATAAGGTCCAAGCAGCATTTCCAGCTTTTGATGAATAGGCTACTATGAATACTTCAGATTTAAGTACAGCAGTTTTCTTTTTACTTTTTAAGAACAGCGCCATTTTTTAATGAATTTTTAAAAGCACATTTTAACTAAAACTTTTTTTTTATCTGCAAGCACAGTTAATGTTCAGACTATTTAAAATGTTTAAAGTGACTGACAATAATACATATTCTTAATAATAGGAAGTAATCTGCATCGTTTTTAAACTGTGCACACCTGTAGCTGCTTAATTAGGCCTACGACGCTATTTTTTAATACTGGTTAAAAAAATAGCGTCGTAAGGTGGTACTTGGAGAGACGATTTTTTTCTAAGGTGGTACTTGGTGAAAAAAGTTTGAGAACCACTGGTCTAGGGGGTCGAATCTTTTTTCACAATCTTTTTTCGATTAATTGTGCAGCTCTAGGCTGTAACATAAAAAATGTGGAAAAAGTGAAGCGCTATGAATACTTTCCGGATAAGTAAATAAACAAGTTTCCAGATAAATGGCCTCTACTTGTCTTTGCTTTGCAGAAACAATTCTTTTTTCAATTTATACTAGCCCAATGTCTGCTTTGAACCCTGTTTGCTGATCTCCTGTTATCCACAGGAAGCTCTGCAGGAAGAGATCAAGGCTCTGGAAGGTCGCGTCTCATCCATACAGGGGGTCCTGGGAGATTTAAAGGTTCAATTATACGCCAAGTTTGGAAACAACATCAACTTAGAGGCGGACGAGAGCTGAAACCTTTAGCTGGTGGACTTGACCTCATAGACTGTCCATCTCTAACAGGACAGGACATTTCTACAAATCTTGTCCGGTTTACTCCAGTGATGTCTGTTCAGTTTCACATCTTGTTACGTTTAATCAAGTTCTTGAGGTGTTGCATCCAGGTGGTTTTTGGGGGACGAATGAAATGTCCAGAATGAGAGAATTGAAAGGCACTGATGTCAAAATAAAAAAAAGAAGAAACATTTTTTTTTATGAGTTCCTTCAATTTGGGTTCAGTATTGAGGTGAATGTTTCTTGTTGGCACAGTTATAGTGTTTTGAGCAAATAGCAAAGGATGCATGCAGTGCTTAATTTGTAAATGAACAATTTCCAGAACAATACCAGGATATAAAAGTTACTGTGACCGGCACCCACCACAATTTCAGGTTTCCAGGAACATGACATCACTAAACGGTGATAGCACCAATGGTGATCAGTTTACTAATACCACTGACTTTCATTTCACTTCACTATTATGTGACAAGTGGAAAAAAAAATTAAAATACTCACCGTCTAATCTTCAAGAACAGCCCACGGTTACCTCTTCCATCCTGTTTTTTGCCTGACTTGATTGCTTTGCTTCTGTCTCCCGCTATCCTGATCCAGGGATGCAGTTCCATCTTCCAGAGATCTTTTTTTAATCAGGCTCATTATTAGATTTACTGTTTTAAAAACATACTTCCTCTTTGCCATTTTGAAAATACAAATATAATTTAGGTAGGCCACTATCCCATTATTTATTTTTAAAACAGTAATCATCAACCAATGAGAGTGACTGTAAATGCAAGAAAGCTGACTGGTCAAAAATATTGTTGAGGGCCAATAGTAAAACATGCCTTCTGCTTTAACTTTGGCTTGGTGACGACCTTTATGTGTGTGGGTGTACACAATCCACACAGCGTTGCTTTGTGTTTTTCACTGGCACTCATTCACAATCTCTCACACACACAGATGCAGGTATTCACTAAGCACATGTTAATGCCGGATGACTCAAAATATTACTGGAAGGGAATTTTCCGGAACAGGATCCGGCTCAAATTAAGCACTGGTTGCAGGTTCTAATCCTACTTGATTTAGCTAATAAAGCAAATAAATAAATAAAGTTAAAAAGACCTCATAAAATAAATGTCTAAGAATTTATTTTTTAAGTTTACATTTTCAGAGGTGGCGATTAATCCTTTAATTTACTATTGTAAACAATGAGGGGTGTAAACAAAAACAATGGTCCCAATGTATTTCCTGTTTTACATTTTTCATTTCTAAAGCTTCTGATAATCCAAAAAGAGACACATATTAATAAATAATATTATGATAGCTGTTTTAACATTATGGTATGATTGAGTTGCCTTACTTTACAGTTCTGAAATAGTTTGATAACAAGCCGGAAATGTTCATGGGCCAATGACATCGCCACATTAATATGAGAAGGGATAGTTCACATCAAAATTAAAATGACCTTATCAATCAGTCTCTTATCTGTTCAAAACTAAATTTTTTTTTTTTGTTGAACACTAAAGAAGATATTTTGAAGAATGCTGATTGCTGGCATCCACCGACTTCCATAGAAGTAAAACTAATTATTATGGAAGTCAGTGGGTGCCAGCTATCAGCATTCATCAAATTGTCTTCTTTAGTGTTTAACAGAAAAAAGAAAGTCAAACATGCTTCAAACAAGTGAAGGTTGAATAAATGATGCGAGAATTAAAAAATTGAGTGAACTGTCTCTTTAAGTTGACTAAAAGGCACAGTAAATGCATTAAAACTATTGGAAATCTATTTAACAAGCTGTTTTTTATTTTTTATTTGCATGTTGTGATATGTAAGACTGGAGGAATGATGTTAAAAATTCAAGCTTTGCATCACTAAATAAATTACATGTTAAAATATATTTTATATATATATATATATATATATATATATATATATATATATATATATATATATATATATATATATATATAGTAAAAATGCTTTGGTAAGCAACAGTGATTAAAAAATACTGATTTCAAACTTAAATGTTAGTTCTTTGGAAATAATTTTTATATCTTCATTTTCTTTTAAATACGTTATACATTTATTAATTAATGTATCATATATTGAGTACTGGAATAGAGCAGTGATTTGTATGTATGTATATTCTTTAATACTAAATGATTATTAACACCCACAGGCCCCAGCGAGGATCGAACTCGCGACCCCTGGTTTACAAGACCAGTGCTCTAACCACTGAGCTATGGAGCCAGCTGTCTTCCATCTGCTCTTAGCTGCAGTTTTGAATGACAAAGCTTCTCCAACACCAAGATAGCCGCACCACCAATTTAAAAGATGCTTTCAACACTTAAAACAAAAGATCTATTGCAAAACATGCTGTTCATTTACTCTGACCATCCAAGATGCAGGTAACTTTTTTTCTTCAGTCAATTTTTTAAAGCTGAAACCATGTTCTTTGGTGAGTCATAAGGAATTTATAATGTCATTGACTCTCTGACTATCTGCATGTGTATGTATATATATATATATATATATATATATATATATATATATATATATATATATATATATATATATATATATATATATATATATATATATATATATATATCAGCCCTAATAATATGAAATGTTCTCAAGTGTCATTTCTCAAGGACTAATCATTTTGTCTTCAGCTGAATTACAGACAAAACAACATGAAATACCTGTGACTGCTGACGATGCATAGAGGCGACGATGCATTCTTAAAGCAAACCGCTCAGTCTGTGCAAAAGAAAAAATAACATTATTAACAACATTATTACGTTTAAACAGCACAGGCTCATTGGAAATAAGTGTTGCAGCCCAACTTTTTGTGAAACCACAAATAAAACACATCACATATTTTTCATACATAACATTTCTTTTCACGCTAATGAGATTTACAAATACATATTATTAACAAATAAAGGTTTATTTTCATGTTGTTAAATAGAAGAATATATTTTGAAGAATGCTGGTTTCTGGCACCCTTTAACTTCCGTAGCAGGTAAAAAAGAATACTATGGAAGTTACTGGGAGGTCAAAATATTTTCTTTTATGTTCAACAGCAGAAACCACAAACATGTTTCAAACTATTTAAGGTTGAGAAAATAATCGCTGAATTAAATCTTTGTCAGAACTGTCCCTTTAAGTCAACATAAGCCCCTTTCACAAATACAGAACTTTAAAAAAAATGTAGCCCACCGTCAATTTAAAGGAAAGGGATCATGTGTGAACAGACCCTTTTTGAAAATACAGGTAAATTCGCTCCATCAATTTTCCAGAAAGAGAAGTTGTAACATTACTGATAATTTGCCGGAAGTCTGCTCGGTGTGAACACAGAAGGAAAATTGACGGAATGAATACATTCATGAACTCACTGACGTGAGACGTCTACTCCAGCCGATCAGAACATTCAGACGCATTCACATGCGCGCTGTTTATGAAAATAAAAGCCTTTGAATATTTTTACAGACACAATCAGCTGCTAGATGTTAGTCAGATAAAGTTTCTATGTTCCTTCTTAATGCCAACTGTGGAAAGAATTATCGATAATAAGCTTATGATAAACCGCTGTTTGTTTTCTTTCAAGCTCTGCTTCAGTTGCGTGGCGTTTGTGCACAAGATGGAGTGCGCCGGTGAGTGCTAGCACACAAACAAATGTACATCTCGACATGCGAAACGGTTCCTCCATATGTTTACATCAAAGTTGTTCACAATACTTACAGTGCATCCAGAAAGTATTCATAGCACTTCACCTTTTCCACATTTTTATGTTACAGCCTTATTCCAAAATGGATTAAATTATTTCCTCAATATTCTACACACAATCCCCCATAATGACAATGTGAAAAAAAAAAGATTTTTAGAAATTGTTGAAAATTTATTAAAAATAAAAATAGCTGAAAAATCCCATGTACAGAAGTATTCACAGCCTTTGCTCAATACTTTGTTGACGCACCTTTGGTAGCAATTACAGCCTCAAGTCTTTTTGAATATGATACCACAAGCATGGCTCACCTGTTTTTGGTAATGTTTGCCCATTCCTCTTTGCAGAACCTCTCAAGCTCTATCAGGTTGGATGCGAAGCGACGATGTACAGCCATTTTCAGATCTCTCCAGAGATGTTCAATAGGATTCAATTAGGTCTGGGCTCTGGCTGGGCCACACAAGGACATTGAGGGCATTGTGTCTTTTGTGGCATTCTGTGGAGGGTTCGGGGACCACAGGATTTCATCTCTGTTATTCGCAGATGATGTTGTTCTGTTGGCTTCATCGATCATGGACCTTCAGTATGCTCAGGGGTGGTTTGCTGCCGAGTGTGACGCGGCTGGGATGAGTCCGAGGTCATGGTGCTCCACCGGAAAAAGGTGGTTTGCCATCTCCAGGTTGAAGGAAAGTCCTTACCCCAGGTGGAGGAGTACAAGTATCTTGGGGTTTTGTTCCCGAGTGAGGGAAGGATGGAACTTGAGATTGACAGGCGGATTGGTGCAGCGGCAGCAGTAATGCGGTTAATGTACCGGTCTGTTGTGGTAACGAAGGAGCTGAGCTTGAAAGGCAAAGCTCTTTATTTACCAGTCAATCTACATTTCTACTCTCACCTATGGTCATGAGCTTTGGGTCATGACAAAAAGGACAAGATCTCAGATACAAGCGGCCGAAATGAGTTTTCTTTGCAGGGTGGCAGGGCGCTCTGACACCCAGGATGAGCTCGGAGTAGAGCCGCTGCTCCTCCACATCGAGAGAATTGAGCTGAGGTGACTTGAGCATCTGTTTCGGTGCCTCCTGGACACCTACTTAGGGAGGTGTTCCAGGCATGTCCCACTGGGAGGAGGCCTCTGGGAAGACCCAGGACACGCTAGAGGGATTATGTCTCTCAGCTGGCCTGGGAACGCCTCGGGATCCTCCCGGAAGAGCTGGAGGAAATATCTGGGGAGAGGGAAGTCTGGGGATCTCTCCTAAAACTTCTGCCCCCGCAACCCGGCCCAGGAAAAGCGGTTGAAAATGAATGAATGAATGAATTAATTAATGAAAAGATGACCATAAACTACGATGGAAACACTTTTATCAAATAAATTCCAGTATGCGCATAAAAAATATCAGATTTATACATTTACATTATCTATTATTTTAATTATTAATATTATTATTTATGCAAGAGCGTATGGGGAGCTGTTGGAAGAGCATGCACTGCGTAAAACATACGCTGGAATACTTGGCGGTTCATTCGCTGTGGCGACTCCTGATAAATTAGGGACTAACTCGAAGGAAAACAATGAATGGTTTGTACTCTGGATACATTGGTTATATCATTATGTACACAAAGCCCCACCATGACAAGATGTTGCCGCGGTTTTTAGAGTGATTTTCATGACAGCATCATATTTAATTAGACCTTCATGATTGTCTTTTACTAAAGCGAGACGTAGAATTATTAGTCGTCCTAATTGCATCATTACAGCGTAAACGCCGTCACTCCACGGTGGCGAACTGCGTTAATTGGCCCAGAAGAAGTGA